AACCTCCTTAACTTCGATGATCGTATGGGATAGCGGTGATCCTCTGGCTCTGACACTTCTTCCTCGTAATATATTTTTGTGCAATATAATTATACACATACTTGTACATAACATGTTTTTATTAAATGTTAAAAATTATTTTGGAACGTAACCCACACAGCATACTTTATTTAAGATATACTGAGAAATTCTAAATTGTCCCCCAAACTTTTAAGTATATTTTTCTTAAAAGATTTGTAATCGCAGTCTTTAACATTTCGATTACAAACATTGTTGTATAAATACTATGCTCAAAATCAATCTGAATGATAATTATTTAATCAGATTATAGCAAGACAACGTCAAAATGACGTGACAAATACGTTATTTTGATGACGATAACGTCATGTGACTTAAATGGTACGTAATTTTGACGTCATTTTAAATACTAAAATAGTACGTCATTACTGTTACGTCAAAAAGACGATATAAATGTATTCTGTATGCTCAAATAATGACATGGCATTGTTCGCGCGTTGCATATTTTGATGAGATTTTCAATTTCTTAATTATTTTATATCTTCGACTTATACATTTATATCTTCGACGTTAATAGTACGTCTTTTTGACTAAAATAGTAATGACATACTATTTTAGTATTTAAAATGACGTTAAAATTACGTACCATAGTCACATGACGTTATCGTCATCAAAATCACGTATTATTCACGTCATTTCGACGTTGTCTTGTTAGCTGGGATGTCACACAGTAAAAGGCAAACAAATGTTTATTATTTACAAAGTGCGTCATAATTAAATTTCCTTTACTCATAAATCAATAACTTTAATGATCAATTATAAACTGTGGCATATGTGGATGATTGCAATCGCATCTATGATCCACCGACTACTTTAAAACTATTTTTGAAGTTACTCATTTTCACACGAAATCATGCGTGATCTGAGAAAGAACAATGTAACAGAAAAATTATTACATTATATTTATTATACATACATAAACATATCTTTAATTATATTTTTATTTTTGTTATTTCTAGCTCATACCTATTAGCGGTCCTTCTATTGTCAAACATCCTTCCGTTGAATCAAGCACAATGGAGGCCTTGCGTCGAAGTGAAGCGAGATCTTGTGATACCTTGCAAGTGTGCTGTATCTTTGGATTATCCACGATCAATTGAGATGAATTGCGACCGAGTAATTTTCACACGTGATATTATTAATAGTTTGCGTGGTCAACCGGTTGTATCAATTAGTCAAAGGAACTGCGGTCATCAGATCTTACCGGAACATATCATTAATTCCGATTTGAATCTGAAAAGACTCGACTTGTCAAGTAATTCGATCTATCGTCTGATGGATCGCTTGCTACAGACACAAAGTGAACTGCGCGAATTGCGACTCGCTGACAATCTCTTAGGCGACAACTTAAACCCAATATTCTCCAGTAATGAATTTCATGGCATGAAAGAACTCAGGATACTTGATCTTAGCAGAAATGGTCTTAGAAGCATCGAAGAAGGAATTCTAAAAGGATGCGTTAACTTAGAAGAACTATATCTCGATAACAATAATTTAACTATGGTACCCACCGCTTCTTTGAAAGGACCACGTGCTATTAGAGTGTTATCTTTGGCAGGCAACAATATCAGTACGTTTATGACATAGCTTTTCTTTATTTAAAATTTTGTAAATATTTTAATTTATTAGTAACTTTTCTACATTTAAAAATATGAAGATAAATCAGTAGTGTATTGTATTGTAGCATGGATATAACTAGAGAGGCTTGATATAAGTGTGTACTGTACAGGGTGTCTAATTTCTTCTTGAGCAACTGAAAAGTGATGATAGATTGGGTCAAACTGATAATGAGAAGAAAAGTCATGTACCATTTTATAAATTCACAATAGTTCTGAGTTATAAATAAAAAGCATCTGAGCGCAAATGAGCGCGTAAAGAAGCCGTAGACCGAACATACGGCAGGTATGCAAAATAGTTTACTTATTTTTATCTTTTACGATCCAATAGGTGAGATATGAGGGATGGAAGGCGATTGTGTTATTCACTTGTGCTTCACTCCTTGCTTATTGGATCATAGGAAATATAAATAAATCAACCATTTTGCATGCCTGCTGAACTGTGAATCCGGTCCATCGTTTCTTGTGCGTGTTCTTCTATTCGTACTTTATTTAATTCAATATACTTCCATCTTTCAATTGATCACTTCTAAGTCGGACACCCTATACAAAGCTTATTACTGTAAGGGGAAGGAGAGATTTCCTTGTAATTAAATATTTGAATATCTATAAATCAAATAATATTTATAGCAAATAATATTTGAGTAAGCAAAATTACAAGGTATATATATTACTTGCGAGATTATTTTAATGGAAAACTTTATACATATACTTACAAGTTTTTTTATATTTATTTATAAAGTTTCTTATTAATTTTTAAATAAATATTTTATGGCCAAATGTAAACTAATAACAGGCCATATTAACGAGCATTAATAGATGTTCTTTTAATACAATTGATTTATTCTTCTTCGAATTATAACAGTAAACGTTTTGGCTCTGCTAAGCCTTCCTCAGTACATACAGGGTGTCGGATTCGATTTGGACGACTCCAAAGATTATAGTAGATTGAGTCAAGCTGAGAAGAAAAGTTATATACCATTTTACAAAATCCGTAATTATTATCGCGTAATTAAGAAAAACATCTGAGCCAATAAGTGCACGGAGGAGCTGAAGGCCGGACTCGGCAGACATGCAAAATGGTGTATTATTCTCCTACCATCAGAAAAACTTTTTCGGCGCGGTGTCATATGTCGCGCGTTCGCTCGCTGCGCGCCGTTTGCCCGCTCACCGCTCCCCGCTCGCCCCCGTCTCTCATCGATCGATGCGTGACTGCACCTCTCGCTATCGGATCTTGAGAGATGTCAACAAATACACCATTTTGCGTGTCTGCCGAGTCCGGCCTTCCGCTTCTCCGTGCACTTATTGGCTCACAAGGGGACCGTCAGGTGTTCCCCTCCCCGATTTGGCTGAAATTGTGTGCATAAGTGTAGTACGTAACGAGAAACTGTTATAGAGCAAGCCACTCGACGCACTTTGTGCGTCTCAAGCGTTTTCGAGAAAAAGCAATTTGAAATTTGCGTGTATGTGTTAGTAGCTGTGCAGCGCAAAAAATTTTCAGCCGAACGCGTAGCGTACCTGGCAGCGCGCCAGCTTCGCAAGCACGAGATCGCTGGTTCGAGTCCCGCTGCTACTCTTTTTTTTCTATTACTTTTTTATTATAAATGTTTCTTTAGTTATACAATATTGATGCTGAAATTTTAATATTTTTATCGTTTTGAAATATTTGCAATATAAATTTTTATTAATTATTTGCAATATTTATAATATTAAGTAGAAGGCAGTATATGTTGTAACATCATCGAAATGGGGAAAGCTTACGACTCATTTGTATAAAAAATTTATGAAAAAAACATTATTACCATACGTAGGAAAGGAGAAATTTCTGCTGTTGATAGATTCTTGGGGAGGGCAAACAAATCCGAGCTTGTATAATGAAATTTTTCAAAACGATGAGGGTATAGGAACATGTACAATTAAAGTTATTCCTCCGAAATGTACGCCTCTTGTTCAACCTTGCGATGTTTACTTTTATAGACAGGTGAAAAATTTTATAAAGCGTCTACAAAATTGTTCCTACCTCATCGAACAAAATCGCGAGATAGTATCCAGAGAAGATTGTTTAAAAATTCAATCGATTGTTCATAATCAGTTGTCAGCTTCAGTATTTTCTGAAATGTTGCGTTACGCTTGGTTCGCTGCAAAACTTTGCGATGAAAGAAACATTTTCAGGAACGTAAATGAAATGTTTCCCTATCGATATTCTTAAAATTCCTTGTGCTTCTAAAAAAGCAGCTTTTATAAGATGCGCACAATGTTTTACAACATATTGTTTTACATGTTTTTATGATGAATATCATCCTAATTTATGTACCAATATACTGCCTTCTACTTAATATTATAAATATTGCAAATAATTAATAAAGATTTATATTGCAAATATTTCAAAACGATAAAAATATTAAAATTTCAGCATCAATATTGTATAACTAAAGAAACATTTATAATAGAAAAAAATAATGGAAAAAAGAGTAGCAGCGGGACTCGAACCAGCGATCTCGTGCTTATGAAGCTGGCGCGCTGCCCGGTACGCTACGCGTTCGGCTGAAAATAATTTTTGCGCTGCACAGCTACTAACACATACACGCAAATTTCAAATTGCTTTTTCTCGAAAACGCTTGAGAGGTGCGTCGAGTGGCTTGCTTTATAAAAGTTTCTCGTTAAGTACTACACTTATGCACAATTTCAGCCAAATCGGGGAGGGGAACACCTGACGGTCCCCTTGTCAGACGTTTTTCTTAATTACGCGATAATAATTACGGATTTTGTACAATGGTATATAACTTTTCTTCTCAGTTTGACCCAATCTACTATAATCTTTGGAGTCGTCCAACTCGAATCCGACACCCTGTATAATAATTAACAATTTAACACCAATCGCATAAAAACGCAGTAATTTATACAATTATCAACAGTGGAGTTTTTAACCAACTTATCCAAAATTTGACGATGTCATGGCAGTAATATTAATTCCACAACTATTAAACGTATTTATCGTTGGAAGACGAGAATATGTTGGTCCTAGTATTATTAGTCGTTTCAACAAAATGTTCTAAGGTTCTCAATTTTTGTTGTCATATCTAATTTTATCGAAATATTTTTTATCGAAACTAATAATACCTAGGTCCAACATATTCTCGTCTTCCAACGATGAATACGTTTGATAGTTGTGGAATTGATATTACTGCCATGACATATATCGCCAACTTTTGGATAAGTTGGTTATAAACCCCACTGTTCATAATTGTATAAATTACTGCGTTTTTATGCGATTAATGTTAAATTGTTAGTTATGTACTGATAAAGGCTTAGTAGAGTCGAAACGTTTACTATTCTAATTCGAAGAAGAATAAATCAATTGTATTTAAAGAATATCTGTTAATGCTCGTTAATATGGCCTGTTATTAGTTTATATTTGTCTTTACAATATACGAGCGGAAGAGTCACTCTCTCTTTTTACATATTGTTAAATATTTTATCTTAATGATTACATCTTTTCGATGTGTAAACATTGAGTTACTTCTTTCTGAATCATTTTCTTTTATAGGTTCTCTTTCACGAGATGCTTTTAATACTCTCGGCGAATTGTTATTACGATTAGATCTCAGCAATAATGAATTATCTCACATGGAGGATGGCGCTCTTTCCAATGTCCAACACCTCTTGTTTTTGAATATCTCTCATAACTCCCTCAGCCGCTTTAACAGTGATGTCTTTAAAGGTAAGATCATTATTTATTCGATACTTTAAATTGAGAACAAATTCCTTTGCTTTATACCATGATGGAAAAATTTACTATGAACAATTACAAAATTTTACTAGAAATTGAAATTGTAGAAATTTTTATATATTTTTAAAAGTATTTTTTTGTATAAATATTTACGAAATAGAGTACCACAAATTACGATATTCTTAAAAAATTATTAGAAGTAGTATTTTATGGAAATCTACCATTTCACAGGAAAAAGTGTAAGAATTTATAAATTTAAAAAATTTAAAAGGCAATAAAATCTTAGAAAGTTAACACATCTGTTTACTTGTAGAATATTACAATTGACGAAAGGAGAGCTTGCTTATTGTCACCAATAATGATTAAACATTGAGACGGAAAATTTATAGTCAACCCAACTGGCTAGTTATTTAATTAGTTTATTACACATAACGTTTCTACCCTATTCTTTTGGGTCCTTTTCGAGTGATACTGCAAATCAACAACAACAACGCAGTTATGAACAATGTAGGTTAATAAGTAAAAAGGATTTAGTTAAATAGTTAGTAGTTGTAGCTAACTCGCTTAAAAAATTTCTGTGCACGAACAAACACACATCGAATACGAATAGACATATTTTGAACGATTTTGCCCAATGTAAGAGGTTTCTAAGCGATAATGATGACATATTTGTCACTAGAACTGACAAGGGATAAGTCACCGTGGTAATGGACAGAGAGGATTATATCGGGCGAATGAAAGAATTACTTCACGATGCATCCATATACCGCAAATTTAAGAAATATCCTATTTATCAATTAACTTAAAAAATTAATTCACTTATAAAATCCTGGCGTGATAATGAAATAATTGACACAAACACGTACAAGTTTTTGAATTGTACTAACGGGAATCTCCCCCAATGTAACTGTTTGGGAAATTTCCTCACATTCGAATCTCGTCATGAGATCGAATGATCTTGAAATCTCCGTGAGCGCTGCGAGTGGATCGGGGGGTGAGAAAGGACGTGCAACGTGGCGAGAATGACTACAATACCGTTTCTTAACATGAGGTGATCTATTTACTCGTATGTATACAGGGTGTGTCCTAATACCCCCCACACAGCACAAAGCTCCGATTAAGCTCCTAGGAAGTTCATTTCGCTGAGCTCCCAGGGAGCTTACAAAATTCGACAAAACAAGCTTCCAGCGAGTTAGTACTAGTACCACTCACTGCCGCGACGTGGCGACCGCACTTTAGTCTTTCTCGTAAGTAAAATTCTTCCATATTAGTATAAGAGGCGAGCCGATATAATTCGACAGCGAGTTATCTGGATCATGGATAAACTTTTAATGACCTAAATATATTTTTTATGACTACACAGCACGGAGAAATCCTTGGGAGCTAATAAAATTTTAGTAATTATGCATAAAAGCGACTTCCTCTCCGATTTGCTTTATTTTTAAATATGTTGTTGGGGATGTCTTCCCGAGTCATTTCATATATAAGGGCCGGACTCAAGTAGTTTCGGAGATACAGGCTGAGAAAGGATACAAATAATAAATATATGGTAATTCTTCAGTATAGCTGCTCTACCTACAAAATCAATCAAATTGGTCTCATTCGACGCGTTTTTCAACGAGAAGCAACTTTTTCCTCAGACAAAATCGTCGCTCTGCCCTGCGAAGCGAGATATTAATTGTTAAAGTTGACAACTTTTAGTGTTAGAAAATCTGTCATGCGGAACATACTGTCTCCACACATGTACTTCTGCCGTTGTACTGTTCCACATGGGTTTGCAACTTTCCACGTGAAGCGAGATCCACTCTACATCTCTGACATAGGGTGGGTAGGGTTATTTTTAACGAGGTGAAGCCCCCCCGAAGGGGGGGGACGGAACATACTGTCTCCACGCATACATTTTTCTACCTACATATAAGTCACTCCCCTCCACCAAATGTAGATGGAAAAATGTATGCGTAAAGACAGTGTGTTCCGCCCCCCCCCCTTCGAGGGGGCTCCACTTCGTTAAAAATAACCCTACCCACCCTATGTCAGAGGTGTGGAGTGGATCTCGCTTCACGTGGAAAGTTGCAAACCCATGTGGAACAGTACAACAGCGGAAGTATATGCGTGGAGACAGTATGTTCCGCCCCCCCTTCGGGGGGCACCACTTCGTTAAGATATAACCCTACCCAAACCATGTTTGAGGTGTGGAGTGGATCTCGCTTCACGTGGAAAGTCGAAAACCCATGTTGTGTCGCTACATTTCGTCAGTATGACAGATTTCCTAACTCTAAAAGTTGTCAACTTTAACAATTAATATCTCGCTTCGCAGGGCAGAGCAACGATTTTGTCTAAGGAAAAAGTTGTTTCTCGTTGAAAAACGCGTCGAATGAGACCAATTTGATTGATTTTGGAGGTGGAGCAGCTATACTGAAGAATTACCATATAAATTAAAATTCACACATGAAATAGAAATAAATAACTCCATCAATTTTTTAGACGTTAGTGTTATCAGAAAAAACAACCAACTATTGACTAATTGGTATAGAAAACCAACATTTTCGGGACGATACACGAATTTCTTTTCGAACCATCCCCTCCAATACAAACTCAACACGATCACAAACCTAGTAGATCACGCAATTTTATTATCAGACAGCAGATTTCATGACGTTAATATTTCTATTATAAAGAACATTTTACTTAATAATTGTTTTCCCAACCACACAATTGACAAATACATCAACAAAAGACTCAAACAATTACAAGACTCCTCTCGAAACCCAGAAAACACATTCGACATAAGAACCTGCATCACCATACCGTACATCAAAGGCACCAATGAAAAGATACGTCAACGTCTAACAAATATAGGTTTAAACACAATATACACCGTCCCAAAAAAACTAAACAAATTAATAAGAAAAGGCAAGGATCCGATATGTGATCTCAAAAAAACAGAATTAGTCTACAGACTAAACTGCAGGGACTGCAATGCAACATATGTCGGCCAGACAAAAAGACACCTGGAGACGAGAATCAAAGAACACATCAATAATATAAAAAAGACTGACGATAACCAGTCAGTCATCAGTAAGCACCGCTCGATATTAGGACACGAATTTAACTGGACACATCCAGATGTCCTACACCGAGAGAAACACATCAGAAGAAGAGAAATCGCTGAAATGCTACACATAAAAATGGATCCGAACACCATCAATTCGAAGAAAGACACCGAGAATCTTAACTCTATTTATGACTCTATTATTAATTCCTTGACATGAACTGTTATGTATGTGTTACTCTCTTCTTCACGATGTTTTTTGACCTACACGGCGTAGCTAGTCGATATTGCGATCAGTCACTCTCCATCCATCGTAGAATACCTACGTGTCTTGCGATATACGAACCGAATTTTATAATTGTGACTCGATAGACGAATAGGAAAATTTTTATAATTGTGACTCATGAAGGAAAGTTTATAATTAAGGTGAGACTGACGTTTGATCTATCCGAATTTTTGTTTTATAATATCCACGTGGACAAACCATATCATATTTATATCTATTTATCATATTACATACACATTTATTTATTCAACAAATTATATCTATACACCACTCTATTTATACAATTATTTTAGTAATGGCTTGAGAAGGACCAAAACCGATGGTCGAAACGTCGCTTGTATTTCCAATTTTTAAATATATTAAACACATGCCAGATAAAGTCGACTAAAATTTATTATAATTACCATATATTTATTATTTGTATCCTTCCTCAGCCTGTATCTCCGAAACTATTTGAGTCCGACCCTTATATA